TTGGGTTGTTACCGACATCTGGTGAAAATTTCATGTCATTAGTACCTCTAGTTATATATTTACTGAGAAAAATGGTGACGTGTTCAATACTTATTTTACCCGCTGTAGATAAAATTAATCACTGCAATAAAACAACTGCCTGTTTTTGTCAATTTTTCGGTAGATTGCATCAACTCTGTTACATACAGAAGGAAAACTTCACTAAAGTGAAACGTAAATCTGTGGATCTGTGTTTGATTACTCTGGCTGGCTTTCTTAAGGAACAGGATGTGACACAAAAATCTGAATTTTGGAACAGAAATTGAAAGTAGTCAAACTGAATAATAAACCAAAATACAGTTTCAAAGTAAATTAATTCAGATACAAAACTTTAAATTCAGTTTCAAAGCATTAAACTCAGTTTCAATTTAGTGAAATTTATTTTCAAACCAATGCATTCAATTTCAAATTATGCACATTCAGGTTGAATCTGAGCAATTCAAATTCAATTCCTGCTGGCACAAAATTTATCCCATATGAACAGCTGTGTAGTCGTAAGAAAATCACTTATCAGTGAGGCTAATAGAGAAAATGGCTTTGACTGTGGAGCAGGAGCTTGGCATGGTGAGTCTCAGGAATGTGCCAAAATGAACATAGAGCAACAACGTGACAGCATTTCAACTGTTTGGCTTTGGATTGAGTATAATGGACCCTAAAGAAGAAGTCATTCCATAATCTCTTCCCTAATGGCACAGGCATGTTTCAAAAAGATAACGCCAGGATTCAACAGGCTTAAATTGTGAAAAAGTAGTTCAGGCAGCACAAGCCATCGTGGTGAAACATGAATGCAGCTTTGAACAGAAATAAATGTTGTGACTCTGCAGAAGCTTGTGGAAACAACACCACTGCAAATATGTGCAGTAATCAAAGCTTAAGGTGGTCCAACAAAATATTACAGTGTGACCTTTGTCCTGGCTGGACAGTGTATCTTATTTACCAGTCAGCCTTTAATGGAACTATTGATTACTTGATAGTAATTATTGGATTTACATTCAAATATGATTAACTTTTGGAGCTACCCCATTCAGTTTGGTATGGTAGTAGCTGAGACTGATCCGCAACATTTGTGTTTAAAATGTTGCCATTCACTACTGGACTCATCTCTGTCTGGCTGTTAGCAAAATATCCCATGAACCACTGGATGAATTTTAAAGACACTTTCAGAAAGTAATTATTGGATGTACATCTGCAACTAGTTAACCTATAATAGAGTCGACACAATTCAAAATGGCTGCTAATCAACCTTAGCAAACAAGAAAGAAACGATCATCATGTGCTATGACCCAATGAACTTTACAGAAACTGTGGTAGCAGCAGAGACATAACACATTACCCAGGCAAGATAAGAAAATAGTTTTTTGCATTGAATTCTATTAATTTTGTTTGCATGTATTTTCATTATAAGTTAAACTGACAATGTGCTCTGTATGAGTGAAGGTACTCATAAGTTTAAAATAAATTACGTGTTTCAGTCTCACATTCACTTACAAGTATCAGCAGTATGTAGGCATAAGCTGAAATTTTTTTTTTGCAGGTACAAAATTATTAGATGGCTTTTGTAGATCAATGTTATAACATTACCACTGGGTGCTGCCACTGACTTTATGTTTCATTCAGATAAATAATGTATAAAAGTCCAACTATTATATAGGACAGTTTCAGCATTATTAATTTATGGGTTACCTCATGTTTCTACTGTTTAAGACTGATTTTGGGCCATGGATGTTTTCAGGTGCAACAGTTAAGTGAACGGAAAAAGAAGAGGAGAGTGCACGATGGGGTGGCACAACTAGAGAAAAGCTCGAAGGATCAGGGATGAACACTAAATAAAACAAAACAAAAAAAGATGAGTGGCTGCTAGCAGGGATCCTACAGTTTAAAGCAAGTTCAGTTTAAGACTTTTTAATGCCAAGTGAAAWTCAATTTAAGACCAATTTCATAATAAACACAAATGACAAAATAATAAAAATAAAAACTGGCAGAAACTCATGAATCAAAGTATTTTTGGTTGAAGTATTCAAATATTGCTAATAGTAGGGCTGTGTATTGGCAAGAATTTGGTGATACGATACATATCATGACAGAGGGGTCACGATACAATATATCCCGATATATTTCGATACTGTAAACAAGGCAATATATTGCGATAATTTTGGTCCAAAAATTCTATTAAATAAAAACCTCTTACCGAAAAAAAAAAAAGAAAAACTAAAATTCATTGTCTCAGAAAATTCTGATATTACATGGACATACTTTTGATATATTTAGCTTTGTTCTGCTTTGTATGCGTTTCATTTTATTTCATCCATGTTTTCAATTATTAGACTAAACTTGCCAATAAATAGTTTGAAAATATTTTTTGCAGCTTTTAGTTTTTAATATTAATTTACAATATGGTCACCCAACACTTAACAATTACAACTTGTTGTAGATGAAACCTTYAAGTGCCTGTGACATCAATGTTTTGTAAGAAAAGTGAATGCATTTTTGGAAAAACAACATTAACATTTTACAAAACAAATTTCAAGTTGCTCAGATGAACAGTTGAGATATTTGCATGTGAAGTAACAGGAAGTGATGTCAAAGGGGAATGTCTGCATGTGAATATTTAAAAAAAAATAAATGTTACCAATTATTTTAATATTTGCGATGAACTACAATCATCCTACTTGCAATGTGTTAACATTTTTAAGACTTTTGAAGGACTGATTTAAGACATTTTAAAGCTAATTAAGGGCTTAATTTTGGATTGATGAATTCAATGTCGGGCTGCCACAAACGATCATTTTTATAATCAATCACCGATTATTTTTTCGATTAGTTGACTAATCGGATAATACATTAATTGAATATAAAACATATATAAATTATATAAATAAAAGAGCTTATCGTACCAGAATGCAGCTGCTATTATATAACCATCGTTAGATTTTAGCTATATGCTAACTAAAAATCACTGCAGTGGAAGGCAAGTTCTGCCTTGCAGATATTACACAGGTTTCTCTTTCATTTTCTTTAAATGATCCCACACTTTTGAGCTCCGTTGCCAGATAGCCATGATACCAGAGCCTGTCTGTATAATTGTGACGTCCACGGCCTACCCCAGTTACCACTACTGTGCATGTGTGTCAAGGACAGAAAGGCAGATGTGGCAGTGGAAGGTGTCAAGGCGGTTTGGTGAGAAAAACAAAGTAAAGCACAAAAAATGAAAATGATTAATCGATTATTAAACTAGTCATCGATTATTTTAATAATCGATTAGTAGTCAACTAATCGTGGCAGCCCTAATTCAATGCCTTTTAAGACTTTTTAAGGATCTGCAAGTGCGCTGAGCTAGATTACCAACGATTTTTAAATTTGGCCTGACACCCGTTTATAATTAGGAGTTCCACTTTAAGTAAAGTTGAATGTAACAGAGGGTAATTTATTCAAAACTTATACCTAACTTATGCAACTTATTCCTGAACGATGAACAAAATTTACTTATATCAGCATAAGTTTAAAATGTTAAAGTGTGACAGGGCCTTTAAACAGCAACAATCCAAGGTTCTATGATTTGCARTGTTCCTTTAGCGCATCGCACTGTAAAGTTTAGACAACTTATGCTGACTTGTGAGTAAATTACTTAACATAGGTCCTATATTTGTCCAACTCTTCAGCATTACATCTAAAAGAGGCTTCAAATATATTTATTTTTACTCCACCTTCAAAGCAGACATCTTCAGGGTTGGGCAAAATTTTCCTAAATTTGGTGCAAGTTATCTAAAACGTTATAGTGTGACAGAGCCAGAGTCTTACCATTCAACATTTCTGTCTGAGCAGCTGGAGATTCGGGCTCAAGGACGCTGGACTCCACTGGATCCACAGTGTCTGCAAAAATCTCATTCTACAAAAAAACAGACCAGAGTTCAACGTGTTGTTTGGGTTTGCTGCACATTCCTGCAGGGAGGAAACAAGATTAGAGAAGTGGTGCTTTCTGTGCTACGCTCTTCAGATTGACAGCCTGTGTGTTTCATGGCGCCCTCCACAGGTACCCACTGACCGGAGGCGCCCACTCGCAGTCGGCACGAAGAGGGTCTTCATCCAGGAGGGTCTCTGGGGCAGTGATGACACACCCCTCCACCAGCTGCTCACTGGAATCGCTGAAACACCCAACATCATGGAGAAGAGTGGAGTCTGCAGAGGAGAGGGGGAGGGGTTCAAGTAGAGCAGCTAAAATTCCTTAAGTTTGGTGCAACACTAAAAAAAAAAAACAGCTTGAAATAACCAATGAATGCATTAAATGGAGATGCACATGAAACACGTTGTGCATGCATAACTATCGTGTATATTTCACTATTCAACTAAATGCAAATGTCACGGAGTTTAACAGCTTAGCAAGACATGCAAACCGAAATGAAAAAGCGGACACACCGAGCTCCAGCGGCGGACAGATGTCCTCCTCCACCTGAACACCGATGCTGCGTTTGCTGTCCAAACTCGACACACAGAACAGACTCTCGAAGTCTCCGCTTTGCTCCGCTCCCCCTCCTCCGGGTCCGGTGCGGCCCACATCCACGGCCGAGGCTCGGTATCTGCTCTCGAACAGTTTGACGAGCTCCACAGAAGCCGCCTTGACCAGCGCCCCCAGCACCGACTCCACCTGCGCCTGCAAGTTCACGACGCCCGCCGACATTATGTCCGCCGGGGCAGCAATGAGGAGGACAGAGCTTTCGCAGAATATTCAAGCGGAAGTGAACATTTAGCATTTATTTACCAACGATAGCCACATGGCTCACTGTCAGAGGGGAGGAGCCTGTTGTGTTCTGGCGCATGCGCAGTCTGGACAGGTAGACTGCCGAAAAGGCAGAGCTAATCAAGCTGTAAAGTCTGTAGCCTACGGCATGTGTAATAATAAGAACATAGCTATTTAATTCTTGCTAGGTTTTAAAATAAAAATGCTCACAAATCCAACTCAGAAAAAAGTTGGCAGTTTGCGTAAAATATAAATAATAATAAAAAAGAATCCAATGAATTGCAGCTCTTATAAATCCAAATTTTATTCACAAGCTAATTCATCAACTGGAGCTAAGAATTTGTACATTTTCATTGTGCATTTGAAGGCAACAATAAATCTTAAAAATGTAACAAAGCCGGCAAAAGGCTATCAAAGTAAATGATAAAAATAAGAAACAGCTGCAATTAGGTTAATTTGCAACTGGTTGGTGAGAGGACTCAGTATGGGATGAACGTTTTACAGAGGTTGATCAGAAATAATCAGCAGAGGTTCATTTGTCTGTGAACTGTGTCTAAAAGTAGTGGAACAATTTCAGAATATTGATCCTTAATGGAATTTTTTTTGCATATTACATCATCATCTTTAGACTAGCTGATAACATCAAACGATTTCCAGAATTTGGTGAAATCTCTCTGCTTATAGAATAAGACTGAAAGTTATTGATGTGATCTTCAGGCCCTCGGGCACTATTTAGAAACACTGCAGTCTTCTCTGCGTCAAAAACTAAACCATTATTGCCTTTCAGCCCTGCACCAGATCTAAAAAAATAAGCTTAAAACCAATTTCATATATTGCCATTCCTTCTCACATCACTAAAAAACATTAGTTATTAAAAATACCAGGCATTGAAGCCAGCAGAAGTCCTTCAGCTCTTTTTGAAAACTTGTATTGTGGGGCACAGCAATGCAGTATTTTTATTGTTGTAATTTTTCTTCAGAGGTGCTTTTCAGGAGAAGTCAGGTTTGCACAGTACTGTACTCTAACATCGTNGTGTGTGTGTGTGTGTGTGTGTGTGTGTGTGTGTGTGTACAATGAAAAATAAAAATATTTTACAGGCTGATAATTAGAAATATTTCAACCATGCACACTTTCACTTCTTTAAGAATTACAGTTGCTGAATTTCAGTCCAAGTTGTCCTTTATTTAAGACTTTACAGTGACTTAAAATTTTTTCTTGTTACAAAAATAGAATCTGGCTGTAGTCATAAATCACCATTGTAGAAAACATCCATATGATGAACAGCACTTTCATACTGACTTGACATATCAGGCTGGTGATGTTCGAGACCCAACACATTAGACTGCTATAGCACCCTTTGATCTGAACTTAATCGATTCAGTAGTAGGGAAAACAAGAAAATGACTGAATGAAATGTTCAAACAGCAAAAGACCACATATGGCCTCAGACATGGATAAAACAGTGAAACCCCTCCAGTTTGTAGGAAGATAAAAACTTTAATCATATAAAAATCAATAGCAGTAGGTGACAAGGTTTTGAAATAATATCTTCTTTTATTGCACCATACAGTGTTACAAGTGGGAATAACGGTTTTGTGGCAACTCAGAGAGTGTTTTGCCACATGGAGGAAAATTTGTCAGGGAGGAGCATTAAATAATGGAATATGGTGATTCTGGTGAGATGCCAAGAGTGGTAAGAGAGATCTTGATGAATGGACGAGTTCGGCATAAGAAATAGTTACAAAAGATGAGGATTCAATGGAGTAGATGTTGACTCCTGAAACTGCATTGGTCAGATTTAAAGATTGAATTCGAAGTTACGGATTTAATAATCGTCATCATCGTCATTGTCATCGTCATCGTCATCGTCATCATCATCATCGTCATCATCATCATCATCATCGTCATCATCATCATCGTCATCATCATCGTCGTCGTCGTCGTCATCGTCATCATCGTCATCATCGTCATCATCGTCATCATCGTCATCATCATCGTCGTCGTCGTCATCGTCATCGTCATCGTCATCATCGTCNTCATCATCGTCATCATCGTCATCATCGTCATCATCATCGTCGTCGTCGTCATCGTCATCGTCATCGTCATCATCGTCATCATCGTCATCATCGTCGTCATCGTCATCATCATCGTCGTCGTCGTCGTCGTCATCGTCATCATCGTCGTCATCGTCGTCATCGTCGTCATCATCATCGTCATCGTCGTCATCATCATCTTCATCTGGATCAATTTCTCCCGACAATACATCCTCCAGCCAGTCCTCGAGCTCATCGACCGACGGCAAGTCTTCTCCTTCGTCCATGTCCATCCAAACACTGTCAGCCTGCAGAGCAACAAGAACAAACAAAAACAACTCAGCCACACAAACAATCAAACACAAGTCATGTCTGACYTCTCTGTGAAGGTGTAACTACAACATAGCATATTTAGACATAAGTTCTTTGGCTGGTGGGCTTGTTGAGAAATAAGAAAGCTCAACAGTATCATCATTAAAGGAGGTTGGCATTAATGAGGCCCATTTTGAATTTGTTGAATTATTAATTGAATTATTATGTGATTGAAAGGTCCTGTGAACTGAACCGAGGCCACAATGTGCTACCTGTATCTATCACACACAATATCACATCATCTGCAAAACACACACAGAAACACTTTTATATAAGAGCATGTAGTTATCAGCAGTTGCACACTTGTAGATTCAATGCTTCATTGGAGATAAATTGCAAGTCTTTTTGTATGGCTTTTTAAAAACTGGTTTAAGACAAGACTCTTCACAAAAGCGTTCTGCAAAATGGCTGCAAAGACCGGTCCTTCTTTAAGATGCTTCTGACTGTCTGTAAATCACCAATCAATGTCCCACACATATGTGAACCTCTAGAGATGAGGCCAGCATCACAGAACCAAAAGGGGCATGGAGCGGTACTCAGCCATGTTGATGCAGACCACTGCCTCATGTCATCACAGTGTGCAAACTCACATAAAAGATTTGGGAATTGTTTTWCACCAGATATGGTAACAGCATCTGACTCATACTGGTTTTAAAAAAACAGTACATTATTTCCATTTAGCYGCTACTACTGTGGGTTTTTTTTTAAGTAAATGCAAATTTTTGTGTCATTATTGATCTTCTCCTTTAATGAATTTGTTTATTTTTGGCTTTTAGAGGTGATCACACAGGCATCCATAAGTACACAAAATATTACAATGTTGATGGATATTTGCAAATTTGGTAAACGTCCTATTTTGTTAAGGCTGTTACATTTTTTAAACAAAATTTATCCTTTATTTAATTAGTCAATCAAAAATTGTAATAAAAAGTTACTCACATCATCAGCCTCGATGACACCAATCTGTGGGTGAGACAGGTCAATACCGAAAGTCTTTTCCCAGTGTGGCACGAGCTACAAGTGGGAAAAAAAGACAGGATCAAAGCACTTCTGTTGTCAGGTGTATTGCACAGTTTTTCTTTTTTGCCATTATGTTTTCAGTGTGTTGAGCATATTGCTCTGCATCGTGTTCTTACRAGAGGGAAGTCATCAGGATCGATCCAGACAATGCTGAGGTCAGGGTTTTCTGTGTTATCCTCGGCAARGTGCTTCAGGATGTGCAAGAACTCAAAACCATCTGAGAAGCAGAGAATATCACAATCCAACTTAAATCWAACAGTTTTTCTCTTTATCTAAGGAATCATTGTTAATATTTCTACTTTATGCTACAATTTAAGATTTTTTTGTTACGTTTACAGAATTTTCTACTTGTGATTTTTTTCCATTTAGTTTTTAGTTTAAATTACCGATGTCTGACTCTTCTGCAAAGGCAACAATGTGTTCTCCACCAACATCATCATCCTATAGAAGAAATGAACACAATCAGAACGTCAAGCCCTCGTGCTTGTGATACAGTTTCAACAACAGGAAATGAAAACATTCAATGTTGTGACGTCGCCAAAGCCTTTTCCTAAAAAGTTTAAAGGTTCTTACCCAGATCTCATACATGTTGTGGGGCTGCAGCTTCCTCAGGGTTGGCCTTAATGAGCACAAATCCATTAACATAAATTGATTTTTTATTCTTATTATTCAGAAGATTGATGTGGAATAGCTACTGATAAGATTTACCTGTCATTGTCTTCAATAAATTTCACCAGCTCCTCCTCGGAGTAAGGTTTTCCAGGGATGACCACTGGATCGTCAATGAAGGGTTCATAAAAGTCGACCTCATTAAGCTTCAGCTCCAGTTCCTTGGCGACCTGTGAGACAGAAACAAAACCTTTGAATCATTATCTTACCATCAATCAGCTACACCAGTCAGTTATAACACTAGGCATTATTAAAACCAAGGAATTATTTAAATGCAGTATTTGGATACAATAAAAACATTACCAGCTCGTTTCAAATGATGTTTTTTGAAACTTGGTTCCTAACAATTTTCAGATCTGCCACCATATACCAAAACATCACACTTCTTTTAGCTATACTGAAAACCAGTGAGCGTGTTCTCTGAATGCAGCATATTCAGCATATACGGAGGACTGAAACTGACATAAATAAAAAATAAAGCAGAAAAATAGAAATGGCCCAATAAATAAATAAACTTAAAATACACAAATAATTTTAAAAAGGAGAACTTTACCTCATGTTTTATAATTTCATTGACAGTCATATTTAATTTTCCAACTTAGTTCCAACAAATGATATGTTTTAGCACATAATTTAAATAATACTGTTTGAAATTATATATATATTTGTCTTTTTCTTTTTACTTGTAGATATATTTGTGTCTCTTAAGTTCTCGACACACGGAAGCAACATCGCTCACTCTCCATTCATTTCCTGTGGCACTTGTGCAATGAGGTGACAATCAAATGCCCTCCTCCAGCCAAGCGACCGGTGAAAATCGTGCATGCGAAATTTTGCGCTCGTACATGTAGACGTGCACACGTGAGCTTGCAATGCGACGTATGAAAGTTGAAAAATGTTCAACTTTTGTTGGAGTTACAACCAATCAGCGAAGGTTTCGTTGACTGATCAATGAGCGGAGAGTATGCTTCACACTGCAGTTAGCTAACACTTTCAACATTAATTTAGCTCTGTCAGACTTTCCAGTTTTATATGACCCTTCACCAAGTGACTACTAAAAAAGGCAGCTTTGTGGGAATTTGTTGGCGTCAGGGTGAAGTTATCTGGTAAGTTTTTCCTCATAAAATCGTATCTTGGTGTGCGTTTGTTTTTCAACATCATTAGCAACAGAAACCATCAAATTTTGTGAAGACAAACGACTTGAGAGCGCGATTCACAATGCTGCCGTCGCTACTGCATCTCGTGTGTCGGGTTTCACCCTGGTTGCGATGACAGCCGTTAATCGCTGTCGTTGGTTGCTCCCTGTGTGTCGAACCCTTTAAAGTTTTTTTTCTAATGTATTTTTTTTCCTTATGTTGTTTTACTTTTTTTTGTCTCCTGGTTTTATTTTACCTTATGCATTTCTGCCTCGTTATGCAAATACCTTATTTGGTCCTTCTTGGGTCAGCTTCTCTACTATTGGTCAATCTGCACATTTGACAATCTGACCCTTCTCCTTCCTGTCTGTTGACCAGTACTACCCAGGAGGATCAGGCAGGGATGTTCAGCTTTTAGGATTATCTCTTGTCTTGAATATTTTTCACGTAAAGCTAATCTTAAAAGCATGTTTTGAGAAGTGACTTTGTAACCCTGAGTGATGGGCAGCAACGATGGCTTCTCTGAGAAGACTGCTACTGATTTTCATCTTTAACATTTTGTTAGCTTGCTGACTGTGGAAAGAATGACCCGTATTGCTCACCTTGGGATTGAATGTGGCAAAAAACTTGATGTGAGGATGGAACTCTTCAGCAGCATCAGCGAAAGCCTCAAAATCTGAAATTGCAGATATTCTTTAAACTGTTCCAGTAACGTGGTTTCAGTATGTAACATCTGAGAGAGTTGTGTAACTGATGTCATCATTACTGAAGTAACATTGCGTGTTTGTTTAAACATAAAGCAGCTCCTTAAAGGTAAATTGAGCACTAATGCTTATCTGGGCTCTATAAAGCTGTTGCTTGCTTATTGTGCCACCACAGTATTCTTACGTTCTGACTTGTGACTCTTAAAGTAGCCCACCAGTTTGATGTCCTCTTCAATGTTTTCAAAGCCTTTCAGTTCTCTGCTGTTGTCAATAATTTCCACAGGGTCCTCCAGAACCTGTAGAGCAAGTGGAGTAGAAAGAACAGATAACCTGAATAAATCACTGATGGGTGAGACTAATGTAAGTCATGGGAAATGCAAATAGAAAGCAAACAAATTGGACTATAATTTTTTGTTTCATCAATTATTTATGTACTGTTTTATTTCAATGTTTTTATTGCATTGCTTTACATTATATTATGAAACTTTGTGATTTTTAATCTGTCTTTATTGTCTTTATCTATCTTTATTACCAATAAATCAACAAGATAATGACGAAACTGTTTAAGATCAAAGGTTCTCAGTATACATTATTATTGTTTGTGCAATAACAATGTGTATGAAATCAATATAGCAAAGGATTTGCCCTAACCCTAACCTTAACCCTGTATTCCAATATTAATTTTAGTCAATCAAATGCTCCCATTCTGTCCTACATGCCCACAATACTTTTGACTGATAGTGGTTGAGGTGCATTGTAATGACAAAAGAGAGTGTGTAAAACGGATGGATGAATTTCTTTCTTTTTTTTAACATTTCTGTGTTTTTTTATTGAGGTTAATGTAAATTCAAGTCCAGCTTTTAAACTGCAAATGTCCTCTGCTTTTTAGCATCCCTTAAAGAGAGACACTTCAGAAATTGTGATGCAGTCTATGCCATATTTACACCAAAGGAAAACCTGTGTGAGACTCCGCAGATACTAGACGAAACGTCTGGTTGAAAGTGGTGGAACTCAAGTCATTCGATGCCATATTAAGGTATGATTTAACCACGTGCTTATCTGCTCTTCTCTCCAAAAGCAGCGCTGTACGTTAAAATAATGTGACATGTTTTTCCTCATGATGTGTTTTTTTAACACGTCTCTTTCAACTGATTGAAGGGATATTTTGAGGTTCTGGTGGACCTAGAAAGCGACACTATGGATGGTTTAATACACAAGCTGTCAAATGAAAGTGAAGTTCCAGCACATGTCCTACATTACAAGTAATTCAAAGAACTGAATGTATGCAGCCTTCAATACAGTGTTTTTATTTTTTCCCTGTAAATAAATGATTCTTCTGGTTTTTGTTGTTTGCAGAGAAAAAATGCTCCGATAATGACACACAGCAAAAGTATGGAGTTTCTGATGGGTCAACAGTTTCCTTCGCTTTGTCAAGGATGGATGGATTTCAATGAGAAGGCCAAAGGGTCGACATATTGTCTCTGATGCTTCCATGCTTTTTTTTTTTTTTACTAAAACCGATTTTGGAAAAGAAGCCTTGAACTAATGTTTTACAGATTAAATATTAATTCATTTGGGCATCAATTACTATAATAACAAAAAATAATGAAGTTGAAAAAAAACAAACCAATATTTTTTCTTCTACCATTTTCAATATAACAAAAGTCAACGTAAACAAGAAAACTGTTTGCTTTTCTTACACCTTCCCATGTTTTTCTAATGTGAGGAATTTTTCCTCCTTTTTTTAAAATAAGTCATGAGAGTGAAATTATATCCTCACGAACATCAAAGATGAACTCCACGAGAGTGTGTGCCTCAAGTTCACCATCGTACTCGATGGTTTCGTCATCAGTGATGATGAAGATGCTGTCGGACTCATCAAGGCCTATTGGAAAAAGAACAGACTCTAACTTGTGCCACTGTTAAAATATCCTCCTGAAGGAAACTGTCTGTGTGAACAGTTCAGATTATAATGAGTAAAACTTGGATTTTAAGCACAATAAGTTGTTTAACTGTTGGCATTCTCACCTAGTTTCTTTGCAACAGCCTTGTCCAGCTTTGCATCAATGAGACCGACTCCAATGTCCTCATCGTCAAATTCGTCCAGGACCTGGGCTACACGCTGCGAAACAAAACAAAAAAAATGAAGTCACATAAAAGGAGATATGAATTGACCAGAACAGCTAGTACAGAAACAGTGTGATATGCAGGGATTCTTTGCAGCTTTTCAACAACCGTCAAACCATGAAGTGCATCTTTTGACAGAAGTTTCATTACCATAAAAGCCTGCTTTTCAGAGAGCTGTTTGTGCACTTTCTAAATCTGTATGAAACTTGAGCCTCGTGACTGACAGCTGATTCCACCAATTGCAGAGACGCACTCCCAGCCAAAACTGCACCGAGGAAGTGGTTCAGAGTTGTCTTAGTGCATTTGACGGGTAAAAAGCGCACACACAAACAAAAACACACAAACACACGTGAGGAAATGGTGTCAAGGATCTTGAGCAGCTGCTTTTACAGCATAAATAGTCAGACTAAGGCAGTCCAGCAATTTCTTGTATAAATGATTATTTACATATGTGTGATTGGAGTTGCAGATGGACGGGGCGGAAAAACAGCTTGTAAACAAAAAACGTGATCATGCTAATACATATATGAGAGCTGTTTATTCCACAGATTTTATATAAAAAAAATATGGACTTTCATCTGCACTGATATGTTCATATATATCTGTGTGAAAATCTCTAACTATGAAATCTAAAACATAAAAACAGAAAAGAGGCCATTTTAAATCGGACTCCATTTAAAAAGACCAAAAGAAAAAAAGCACTATGACTTAAAGGGCTATCATCGCGTCGTTTACCGACCCACACAGAGAACCTTAACCTCTGAAATGTTGCACCTTTTGCTGTTGCCTCCTACTAATACCTAAACCTCATTAAATCTAAATCATAATACATTCTTAAGAAGAAACAGGAGCCTTCGGAGAACTCTACCCACCACAAAAGCAGCTCAGGATAAATATAGCTTCAGGAGCCACACCAGCCCCGGGACTATTTTGGCCAGGAGGCAGTGATGCTCAGTGTTCAGGGATCCGCTGACAAGTACAGTACTGCAAGTGTCAATCACAGCACGGAGCTGAGATGGCATTACTGGGGCTAGTACCTCCAGAGCTGGCCTGCAGCCCCTTCTTAGACCCTTCTGGCCCTTACAGAGACACCAGAGCCTGACGAGATGATGTGATAGGCCAAGAGCTCTGTCTCACGTCACGCTTCTGCTGTTTTAGCTGTTTACTTCTCATTTTATTTGCTGTTTCTTGTGTGATCACTGCCTTTTAAATTCCTTTACTTATTGTCAGTTTATCTTTGAATGCAGTGTTTTTCTTTAAATGCAGGCATCAAGTGATCAGCACATTTTAACATTTATTCACTACTTATACATTTTATCAGAGTATGTGTGACTTGCTACTTTTAGGTTACACAAAGGCTGTCACATTTCGACACAGATCTAAAACGAAAAGGCACAAGCCTCCTTCCATATCTTCCAAGATACTCCAACACGTTTGCCAACCTTTACACACTACAATAAGCATGTCCAGTCCCATAAAATACACTCGCTGCATGGTTTGGTACATCCCATAAATCATGGATCTTTTCATGTGAAAGCAAGCAGGGCTGTTCTTGGTAAATGTGACATTTGATACACATTCTTGCGCAAGCTGAGAAGGAGCCCCGATAAGCTCTTGTTTGACGCCTCGAGAGCTGACGCTGAAGATTGGTGATGAATGGTGATGTAATGTCTCTGTGAGGAATGTGCAGAGAGCCCTCGGTGTCCAGGCTAACAGAGGTCCTCTGAGGTGTGATTGTCAAGCGCTGACATTGTGCAAAACACCTGGCCTGTACTGTAGGTGCAAGGAAGCTTCTCTTGTTAGCATTTAAAAACACTGAAGTTACTGGACAGCCTGTCTGTTTTTGCAAATGGCACACGCATTTAGATTTATCAACATTTCTGTCGGACATTTGATTTTTAATATCTGAGTCACATCTGTTTAACATGTAAGTCTGCATTCTTACTGGACCTTTGTTCTACCTGATCAGTAAACCTAACTTCCCCTTCCTATTGAAAGATCTCAGCTCCACCTACCTCGAGAGCCAACTCCTCAGTCTCAAACTGTCTCTGGGCGACGCGGCTGGATCCGGGGTGGTCATGGTAGTATACCACCATGACATCGTACTTCCTCATCACAGACTTATAGTTCTTGGCGTTGAGGTCGTGGACACGGTCCTTGCCATCATACTCAGGGAAGTCCAAGCTCTCCTTGCCCAGTGACAGCCCCCCGACTGACAGCAAGACTGCCACAAGCACCCACCACCACTTCATGGCTCCTCTGTGAAGCAATTTAAACTTACTTACAGGTGTTTTTTTTATAGTGAAAAGTGGGGCTGAAAGATAGCCTGCAGAACCCTTTCCAATCCGCGTCACCCAGAAGAGAGCAAGACCAACTCCTGGATCCACCTTATGACAAACCCCACATGGGAAACTGGCAGTGGGACACAGGGTGCAAGAGGGGCCGGGCTAAGTTTGACCTAGGTGTGAGTGTGTCCGCCCATGTGGGGTGTAACTGAGCAGGGGGGAAGATAAGGAGGGCCCAAGTGGCTACTGGGGTACCAACTTTGTGTGTACGTGAGCGTATGTTGCAGACCTGTAAAGGTGGGGTGGAGTGAGACGAGGAGAGGGGGAAACAGCTCTGTTTTCTCCCTCTGACCAGGAACAGAACCCAGAAAAACAGCGACGGAGATGGATTGAGATGGAGGGAGAAGGTGCATAATGCTGTGTGTTAGACCAGTTTGAGATTGTGCCCAAGAAAGAATTGGCTGCAAATATGAGGCACTCTTTTCCCATATTAAGTGAAGATGGACACTTGGATCCCAGCTAAAAATAATGGATGTGGGACAGAGAAGTACATATCAGGAGGGGCTGCTGCCGGTGTCTAATTTGCTGCTGCTGGCATACGCGCTGTGCTAGAATGTGGCGCTGGGTCAGTCTGGGACATGGGGAGAGGCAGGAGCAGAGGGCGGTGCACCTGCTGAGGCTTCGATGCAAAGGTGTCACTTAGCCCTGACTCAAGGAGAAAGTGAAACATTGAGTTTTACAGGAGCAGAGGCCCTGTGCTACACAAACACACACATCCTGTGCAAGGACGTTTCAGCTGAACTCACGTCGCTTTACAAATTGAAAGGGAAGATATCAGCTAAAATGATATGCACAGCATCATATTCCACACACATCTTTTCTTTAACAAGACGGGTCAACAGTGAAAGAACAAGGTTCGGTGCAAGTGGAAGGTCTGAAAGACGCACTGTGCTGAAAGGCAGTCAGATGAAACGTCTCCAACATGTTTGGTGTCAATAACGCTGGAAAACCAAGCTGAGCTGCGGTTCACCGTGTTACTGTAAACAATCTAATTAAACCATGTGAGTCAGCCTGAAGTTTGTCTTGTTTACACCTGATGTGGTGACAGCTTCATAACCATMTTCTGTTCCAATTACATTATAAGGTCTAAACAAGGTTAAAAATGTCAGTCGTCATAACGTGTGGAATATGAACTGAGACTAAAAATGTTTTCAGACACAACAGTTTTGTGCTGCATTTAAAATGACCTCAGCCCAGTTTGACTTATAAAAAAAGGTCGGGTCATATTTGATAGTCAGCTGTCAAATATCACACCTTTGTGATTGATTTGATTTGATTTGATTTATTTAACAGGAAAAGATCATTAAAAATCAAGCCTGACTCAGCATAATTGCTGTTTTACAGCAGGTTCCTGTTCTGCAGCACATAAAACACTCAGAAATACAGCATCACAATCACATCATTATACACCATAGACACAAAGACAAACAAGCATACCAAATTTCAAAAAGGCAGTATTTGCAAAATAGGACGTCTAAATATGAGCACAACAGAAAGTGTCCAGCAGATGGCAGACAAGATTCTTCTTAAAGGGCTGTAGTTTTGAAATGGACTTTATGTTTTGAGGAATGTCATTCCATGCTTTAGTTTAAACATAGAAGAAAGACCTCTGGCCATAACAGTTTTTAAAAGTTGGTAATATCAGTTGTCCTTTTGTAACAGATCTAGTTGAAGTGATCATACCTCACCAGTAACAGATTAAAAAAAAACATTTAAAAATCTGAGTTGACATACCCAAAACTGTCAAAAATGCAGGAAACATTTTCATCTTTTTAATTCATAATTGGAAAATGTCATCATTAGATTAGCAAAACAGTTGAGACAATTGGGTGTTTAATCACAAACGGATTTTAAGCAATTTATTGTCCACACATTCATTACCTTAGTTGTTCTTAAAGTGACTGAAAAATGTCTTGGAAATTTTAAATCATTTTTTGTTAACACCATCTCCATAAATATTGAAAGGAGTCAGAGAACACATCAACATGGTGCTATTAATCAAACTGCTCTTGTTGTTTTCAGGTGTGAGTTTCATGCAACACTAATTAATATGTTAAACTTGTTTTTTTTTTAAAGGCAATACCTTAATTTTAGTGTATTTTGTCTTGTATTAATACAGAATCAATGAACATAAATTGATAATTGATCTATATAAATATTCCCTAATAATGTATATTGCATTGTACTCTTGAACTTATTTGAATGATTACATGAAGTTTCATAATTCTGTTTTCATAAAAGTAAATCTTATAATTGAAAAAAAAAAACTGCTGCAGTTACATCTTCTGACCAGTACATAATGCGCTCGGATCTGCTCATTATTTTTTAGTAACAAACATATTTTAATATACTTGGTTTATTTGGATAAATTCTTCTGTGCATTCAAGTGGTTCAAGCTTGATGAGATAAACAATGTGTTTTTACACTTCTAACCAGCATGTTAAGTTGATCATTTACATTTACAAGGTTCAAAGGTTGACCAAAGAAGAAGGAGGGCCAGTTTATCTACTCCCTTCCGGTGGGCGGTGCTAAAGGGCCAACTTTCATAACAAGGAAATGACGGTGTTATGTTTGCGTAAAGATTAAATTATTAACTGAAAAGATATTAAACAGCCTGCAGAAATATTGTACCAACTTTAACCGTGGTAAAGGTCAGTGTTTTAAATTTAATATTTTTTATGTCCGATAATTAGCTAGTAAATATCACTTTGCGGCTAACTGCTAAAGCTAAAAACAATCAGTCACGGAGCTGTTTGTCGTTCTCCTTTAAAATATATGTCGCTCAACTGCTAATATCTATTTTCAGTTTACAAGTAGGATTTCACCTGGCTTATCCTCATTTAGTCAATCAAAGACCCCTAGCTGGTTAAGTCTCATAATCTGTGTCCTATCCACCCCAGCATAATCAGATTATAAAATTCAAGTGCAGAAAATTAATTTTCTGTCGTGTTTCAGCAGATGGCTTCATCTGTGGCCAACAGAGCTGTAGGAGCCATTGTAGGATCAGCTGTTGCAGATGCTGCAGGTAACACATTTTTTTGTGTGTTGCTCATACTTTGTTTCCTGACTTCTAACTGTGCATAAATGATCATCAGAATTTGAGATCCATATGTTTAAGATCAAAATGTCATTATGAGTATGATTCACTTTTAGCACAGCCCCTGCATTGGATATACGATCTTCAGAAGCTGAAAGAGATTTTGGCTCAAGATCCAAACCCTGAATTTCGCCCTGAGTCTGCCAACCCGTTTTACAGGAGGCAGACAGGCCAGCAGAGCTGCTACGGAGACCAGGCTTACGTCCTGCTAGAGTCCCTGTCAGAATGTGGAGGTAGGACATCTCATCACTTGGTATTATTATTCCATAAACGTCTATAATGACTGTACTGAACTTTTACAACTTATTAGCAAGTTATTAACAAGCACAAATTAATAGTATTAATAAAAAAATAGAATCAGCTAAAGAAAATGGTCTCCGGTTTTTTTTTTTTTTTTTAGTTTTTGGTGAAGAAGCACGATGATGACCATTTATTGCTGATTAACTGCTTGAGATAATCACCTATAGATGTCTCTTCTGTTCAAGTTATTATCATCATGTAAATGTTGTTTTTTTCCCTCCCCAGGTCTAAATGTTGATGATTTGAAGCAGCGTACTCTGAAATACTTTGGACCGGGATCAGAGTATGACACACCCGTCAATGATCCTTACCGAGACAGAGGAGGTAAGAAAACTGTCTAATTTTCTATAAAGTATTGCTCTGCCTTCTGATAAGGCAACGAGGATTGATCTTGTTTTATTTACCAGGACCAAGACCTCAGCTGCCTATCGATGGACCATGGAGACAAGCAAGTCTGAAGAGTTTCCTCAAAAATGTTGATGCTGGAAAAGAGGAGACAGGCAAGCTCCTTTATTTATGCATCACTTGGTGGTATGATTAAAAACAACTTTAAGCAACATGCTGTCTCTGCTGCAGGCTGTGAGACCGACTGTCAGATTGATGGCATAGCCAAACTGGCTCCTATAGTGGCGTTTTATGCAGGACAGCCGGACATGCTGGACAAGGTTGAACAGGCTGTTCGAGTCACCCAAAACAACGATGAATGRGTGGCAGAAACTCTGGCAGCAGCAAGGTCAGTGGATCAACCAGGCACACTCGTTTATTTCAGGGAATATTTTATATTAAGGATGTCTAAATGATCAACATTATTGTTGAAGAGAAATTATTCACTGAGGAGATTCAGAGATTTAAAGTATTTTTTTAATCTTACACTCCATGAAAATGCTTAATAAACATTTGGAACTCTAAAGTTGCATGTTCAGTCTAGCAGAAGTAAAAACAAATACATAAAATCTGGAGAGTTCATGGCACAACTAGAAGATGAGTTCAAGGCACCCCAATTTGGGACTGTTGCAAAAATATTCAAATAAAACRTATGGAGAGAAAAAATGGTCATCAACAACATTTCTTGTAGTTATTGTTGATGAGAACTTAAGGTGGAAAGATCGTMTAGATTGGATTGCAAATTACATAAATCTGTTGGTATAATTAAGAGGGATAGTCATTACATCACTGCAGAATGTTTGCTTACACTTTATTATAGTTTGATATACCCATATTTATGTTATTGCAATATGGTTTAGAGAAGTTCTTTCCCTTCAACTCTACTAAAAATTTTGGTTCTTCAAAAAATTTCAGCTCGATCAGATTTCCATTGTCTTTCTACCCCTCTGTTTAGAGCAGGGGTGCCCAAACATTATCGCTGAGAGGGCCAAAGTTAAAATCAATCTGAGGGACACGGGCCAAATGCAATAATATAAGAAATGCTCAATACTTAAATAAAGTTGTTTAATTTTTTATGATTAAGCTAGCAGCCAGTGTGGTTGGTCACATTCTTTAGTTTCGTTTTTTTTTTCAGCCCATGGACACAGAGAAAATTCAACGTATGCTCAGGCAGCAAAGACTCATGGGATTTTTCATAATTTAAAATTTGAGTGTTATAAAGTGTGCAAATCTATATATGGGCTTAAATCTAATCTAAAAGTCTCTTGTAGTTACTTGTATTTWATATTTAATCTTAACATAATTACAATCTAATAACCAGGACAACTGCTGGTGGGCTAAACCAAATGGCTCGGTGGGCCAATTTTGGCCCGCGGGCCCCATTTTGGGCACATCTGGTTTAGAGATCTCCAGATTCTTACAGTCTATAACATAAACATTTTTCAAATTTGTGCCTTTATAAGATTTATGAAAGACAAGAGAGTATAACAATGCACTATTCATTATTTTAAATGAAATTTGCAATTTCATTCTTACTTAACTCGTCAAAGTTCAGCACTTCATCTTCCTAAATGTCAGACCAGGGGCCTCATTATAAACGGTGCGTACGCACAAAAACGTTGAGTGCGCCAGGTTCTACGCCCATGTTGGGATATATCAAAACCAACGATGCCTTGAGAATGTGCGGCAGCCACGCAAAGTTTTTCAGTCGACAGTTTTAACTCACAAAGTCATGAATCTGACCTGAATCCACAGAAATATGACTCTGTTCTGTTTTCTGYGCGTCTGAACACGGTGTTAGATTTTTATTTTAGTTTGAGTTATTATTGTTTAAACTCGWACGATCATGAAACTGAACCCCGGGACTGAAAATCATTTAACCTCAGACAAGAAAATAGATCAGCCTTAAAAGTCCAGTCTGTAAACTGTAAACGTTTTATATTGTTGTCACGTAGTTGGAAACACACGCGGAGCCCATGGCCTGCGGAGCGCACACACAGCTGAGGAAAATAAACTGTGTGAATTGTCTAAGAAATCTTTTTAATTTTCACTGAGAAAAAAATCTTGTCAACTCAGCAGATTGATTCAGAACAGCTCAGCTGAGATGATTCCTCAGCTGCGCAAGATGCAGACAATAGATTTGTTGCTGCGTAAAGTTGTGCGTAATTTATGGATCATTGTCAGCTGTTCTGCAGGATGATATCATCACAAGAAGAATTGAAGACAGCTTCTTTTTTTGTTTGTTTTTTGTGTCACACAGAACAACTTACAATCAGGTATTTTACTGTAGTTCTGAGCCGAGACATGCAGCTGATCTGAATGAGAAACTTCATGATTCTAAACTAAAAATCACACCGCGGCACAAACTCGCAGCGCTGCGACTCGTTTCTTCACATCAACTATTTAATAAATATTTTCTAAATTCTACCAAACTCATCAGTTTCTCTGTGTTTACAGTTATTTATTAAAGACC